CAAGCTGGCAGAGGATCTTCTCGGCTGACTCTGGTTTGGACTTCGGCCGAGCAAGCTTCACCTCAGCTTGGCCCAACCCAGCTCGGCCCAAATACGCTTGGACTACATTCAGCCCGGCCAGAACCACGGCCCAAGCCAAGATTACGAAAATCCCCCTCTCAATTGCCTCTTAATTTCGTCTGCACTAGCGTGACTGGGATTACATTACAAGGCCAGGCTCTACTTTTTGCTCGGTGATCCACTTTGCTCAGTTTAGGAACTCCAAGGCGAGCAAGGTCCTCTCTGCGACTTGCTTCTTGGCGAGCAAGATCAGCTCCGCAAGGAACTCCAAAGAAGGCGAGCAAGATCCGCTCCACAACTTCCTTCTTGGCGAGCAAGATCAGTTCCACAAGGAACTCCAAAGAAGGCGACCAAGGTCCGCTCCGCAACTTCCTTCTTGGCGAACAAGATCAGCTCGTCAAGGAACTCCAAAGAAGGCGACCAAGGTCCGCTCCGCAACTTCCTTCTTGGCGAGCAAGATCAGCTCGGCAAGGAACTCCAAGGTAGGCGAGCAAGGTCCGCTCCGCGACTTGTTTCTTGGCAATCGAGATCAGCTCGGCAAGGAACTCCAAAGAAGGCGAGCAAGGTCCGCTCCGTAACTTCCTTTTTGGCGAGCAAGATCAGCTCGGCAAGGAACTCCAAGGTAGACGAGCAAGGTCCGCACCGCGACTTGTCTCTTGGCGAGCGAAATTAACTCGGCAAGGAACTCCAAGGTCGGCGAGCAAGGTCAGCTCGGCGACTTTCTTCTTGGCAAGCAAAGTCAGCTCGGCAAGGAACTCCAAGGTTGGCGAGCAAGGTCAGCTCCGTGACTCCCTTCTTGGCGAGCAAGGTCAGCTCGGCAAGGAACTCCAAGGCGAGCTAGGTCCGCACCGCGACTTGCTTCTTGGCGAGCAAGATCAGCTCAGCAAAGAACTCCAAGGTTGGTGAGCAAGGTCCGCTTCGCGACTTGTCTCTTGGCGAGCAAGATCAACTCGGCAAGGAACTCCAAAGAAAGCGAGCAAGGTCCGCTCCGCAACTTCCTTCTTGGCGAGCAAGGTCAACTCGGCAAGGAACTCCAAGGTGAGCTAGGTCCGCTCCGCAGCTTGCTTCTTGGAGAGCAAGATCAGCTCAGCAAGGAACTCCAAAGAAAGCGAGCAAGGTCCGCTCCACAACTTTCTTCTTGGCGAGCAAGATCATCTCGGCAAGGAACTCCAAGGTCGACGAGCAAGGTCCGCTCCACGACTTGCTTCTTGGCGAGCAAGATCAGCTCGGCAAGGAACTCCAAAGAAGGAGAGCAAGGTCCGCTCCGCAACTTCCTTCTTGGCGAGCAAGGTCAGCTCGGCAAGGAACTCCAAGGTCGGTGAGCAAGGTCCGCTCGGCGACTTGTTCTTGGTGAGCAAGATCAACTCGGCAAGGAATTCCAAAGAAGGCGCGCAAGGTCTGCTCCACAACTTCCTTCTTGGCGAGCAAGATCAGCTCGGCAAGGAACTCCAAAGAAGGCGAGCAAGGTCCGCTCCGCAACTTCCTTCTTGGCGAGCAAGATCAGCTCAGCAAGGAACTCCAAAGAAGGCGAGAAAGGTCCGCTCCGCAACTTCCTTCTTGGCGAGCAAGATCAGCTCAGCAAGGAACTCCAAGGTAGGCGAGCAAGGTCCGCTCCGCAACTCCCTTCTTAGCGAGCAAGATCAGCTCGGCAAGGAATTCTAAAGTTGATTAAAACCATCAACAAACCTCTTGCCGAGTAAAATTCATCCGACAAGGAATTCCAGAGTTAATAAAATCATCAACAAACCTCTTGCTAAGCAAAATTCGACCGGCAAGGAATTCCAAAGTTGATCAAAACCATCAACAAACCTCTTGCCGAGCAAAATCTTACCGGCAAGGAATTCCAAAGTTGATCAAAACCATCAACAAACTTCTTGCCGAGCAAAATCCGACGGGCAAGAAATTCCAAAGTTGATCAAAACCATCAACAAACCTCTTGCCGAGCAAAATCTAACCGGCAAAGACTTCCAAAGTTGATCAAAACCATCAACAAATCTCTTGCCAAGCAAAATCCACCCTGCAAGGAATTTTGATCTTTCCGTCAAAATGATTGTTAGTTGCCCCTTGGACCGCACTAAATCCGCTTGGCGAGGCAAAAATACAACAATTGTCAAGAAAATGGTCTGCTTGTTTCATTGCGCCAATGGCAAAAAGGGTTACAAAAATGGAACTAAGAACAAAACTTTAGATTGGCAGAGTTCAATGTTCTGAAAATGGATCGGCTATTCACATTCTGCGAGTTTTATGCCCCTTTTCCTCGGCCTTCTTATAGACGTCTTCCAAAAACCGAACTCCCTATATCTCTTCTAGGGTGGTTTGCATGGTCATCATCTTGTCCGACTGCGTGAACCTTTCGCACGACTCTCTTATTCTCTACTACCAGACTTGCCGTCACGGTAGCTACGGCTGCATCGTCTTCGACTCAGATGTGCTCATTGATACGCTGCATTAGTTGGCCCATGGATATCGGCTGGATCATGGTAAGTGACTCCCGCAGCCTATGTCCGACCGGGAGACCGCGCTTATATTGGGTGATTGCCAGGTTGATCGGGCAATCTAAAATCTCGCTAAAGGTTTCCCAGTATCCGGAGTTATATGCCTTGAGTGTGTCGCTCAACTCCATTTTGACACTGAGAATGTGGTCCACCTCCTTTGGCGTTTTGGTGTTGGTCTTGAAACGAGTCACAAATGCTTCCGCCAACTGCTGCCACCTTTCAATGCTTCCCTCTGGAAACCTCTCGAACCATTTCAAGCCCAGCTCGCCCAAACTTGATGGGAAGATAAGGCACATAAGAGCGTCATTTTGCCTATGTCCGGCCATGACCTGTCGGAAGTGGCTTACATGCATATATGGATCGGTTTTTCCATCGTAGAGCGTGAACTTTGGCTGGCGGAAGTCCGTCGGAAGCGGTGTTGTTTCTATCTCCAAGGAGAAAGGAGTGGCGCTCAGCCTCGCCAAGTCTGTGTCTAAAAGGAGAGGCGCAGCTAGGCGGGGTGGAGGCATTTCGACCTCTTCACTAGCGTGAACCCCATAGGATAGCCGCTGGAACACTGGCACCCTCTGAGCCTCCCGCCGGCGAGCCCGTTCCTTCAAGACTACCCGCAAATCCTCTGAACGAGCGGAATAAGAATACCTTGACGTCGTCACCGGACGTGAGGGTTGATAGCTGCTGTCTTGCGCGCTGGACTTCTCTACGTATGCGTCGGAATCTCCAACCTTGTAACTTCTGGTAATTGAGATGGACGGAGTACGCCACTGGCTCTGACTGCCTGAACGGCGGGGTTGGGTGCGCTCACTGTGGTCTCCTACTCCAACTACACCCTTCCCTTTGACATGCCGCTTAAGATCCTCCATCTCCGCCGCCATTCGCCGAATGACGGCGTCTTGGTCCCTTAGCTTGTGTTCCAGTCGTCTGGCGTGTGATTCTTTCCACCGCTGGTGACCGTCTGGACTCCGTGAATGACCAAAGCTTCTTCCGCGCTTATCCCGCGCGTCACTTGAATGTCCTCCTGGAGAAGTCTCCAGGTCCGCCATAGGAGGGATGGCGGGATGTCCTTCTCTCCGTCTGCCTGACTCTGGGGTAACTCCGTCGATGGCAAACAACGGAATCTCGTCGTTGTTCGCCATGGACGGCGATCAGATAAGCTGGAAGACAAGGTTTTGTCTGTCAAGTTCCCACAGACGGCGCCAATTGTACGGGAAGCAAATATTCAGGCAAGCCCGTACTCTTTTCTTCCAAGCTCCTGTCTGTCCGATCGACCTGCAAGCACAACGGCGGTGAGCTACCCGGCGGTGTGTGGTCGGAAAACCCCTCCGACGGTCAAGTTAACACACACTCAGGGATATAGAGAGAGAGAGAGGAGAGAGTTGAGCGTTCAAGTGTTTCTTACAAAATGATCCATGCCTAGCATGGGGGGTGCAGTCAAGCTTATATACTCTCTGCACTCCAAATCTGCTCCCATTAGTCTCTTGACACGTGGTGCTGCTTTCCCATCTGTCGGCACAAATCCAGCGAACACCACCTAACCAAACCGCCAGACAACATTAATGGGAACTCGGCAACCCGGCGGCATCACCCAGCCTCCTTCGATCGAGCTACTTATCAAGCCTAACAATGTCACTCGCTAAGCTCCATCATAACCGAGCTCCGTAGCACCCCAGTACGGCCGAGCTCCAGACAGGTTAGGCCGGTCCAAGGGAGACCTTCTCGCGCGAGCTACATATGCGACCATAAGACCCAGATCGGCAGACAATCATCTCAGCCTCCTTCGACCGAGCTACTTATCGAGCTCAACAGTGCCACTCGCCGAGCTCCATCACAACCGAGCTCAGCAACACTCCGGTGCGACTGTGCTCCAGACAAGTTAGGCCGGTCTACAGCAGATCACGATCACTGAGCTAAAAAAAGCGAACAAGAGAAGACAAGCTGGCAGAGGATCTTCTCGGCCGACTCTAGTCTGGACTTCGGCCGAGCAAGCTTCACCTCGGCTCGTCCCAACCCAGCTCAGCCCAAATACGCTTGGACTACATTCAGCCCGACCAGAACCGCGGCCCAAGCCGAGAATACAAAAATCCCCCTCTCACACACATCTATTTATCTTAGTGTATATTACTTCTCAGTACACACATTTAGTAATTTGATTATTAGTTATTAGTTATTAGTCTCATTCCCCACACCAAATGTTCTAATAATACCTTTAACTCATATCCTTGTACACATACCGCCTCAACCATCTTTCTTCACACCTGTTCAAAATTGTAGACCAACGATTGACCTCTATTTCGGTTTCACACAGTGAAGACTACAGTAAAGACCCCTCACCTTAACCCTTTATTGAAGACCCTCCATTACATTGTTGAAGGTGAGTATTTCTTATTTTTGATTTTGTAAGTAAGCATTTTCTCCGATAACAGTAGTATAAGCAGTTCAGAATCATCGATGTCAGAAAGATTGGTGATTTACAGAGCTTTGTTTGGGGAGAGTCATGGTGGTTTACAATGGAAAAGTTTCATTGACACCATAAAGATGAAATCAGTGAGACGGTTCACCACCATTCCATTGTTGTCTAGGTAAAATATTTCGAAAAAGAATTTGATAAAGAAACAGAGGGCTAATGATGAAATCGATTGCGGTGATATGGTGATGCCCAAAGCATTGTGGAGGAACTTCAGTCGGACCAAGCTCTTCGCTGTAACCAATAATTTGTAGCAACCAGGGTTAAGACTCGACCCTTTTGTACTATTGCTGATGAGTTTATGTCTATTTTGTATTGGTTTTTGCTTCTTGTTTCCCTTTGGGTTTAGTGGGCTTTGGAAACTCTGTTTGATTGTTAGTAGCTGGATAGAATTTTTTGCTGCCAGCCAGGTTGCGACCGCGATGGGCTATGTTACGTTCACGGCAGGCCGCGACCAAAACACAACTTCAAGTCCAATGTATGGAAGTAAAAGTGCGTGGGCTGTGAGGGGCCGCAACTAGCATGGTTGAGCCCGCGGTAAGAGGGTTGCATCCACGAGGGTGCCACCTGGGCATGTCGTGCCCGCGAGCTTATGTTCGCGCCTGCAATTGTCTTCTGCCTATAAATATTAGTAAAGTGCAAAAACATCTATTTTCGATTCCTTTCTTCTTCAAAACTTCTGCAAACACCATTTTTGCCTTTTTAAGGTCTATACCCTTGGTTTTGATCTAGTTATACACATCTCTTACCCTTAGTCCCTAAGACTTTTATGTAGAGCAAGGTTGGGGCTGCATTTTAATCTGAAAATTCTAACTTTTCGGCGTTGTTGGTTTTTAGTCGTTCTTCTGTTGCTCCTTGAGCTTTGAGGTAGTTATTTACCTTTATTATGTGTTAGTTGAGTAGCTTAACACTTTGGGGGCTTTGGTTTGGTTTGAAATGTATTCTAAAAAGCTTAAAAAAGAGGTTTTCTTGATGTTGTTTCCAAAACTCTCGTCTTCTTCTTTTCTTTTTTTTTGGACTCATGGGAGTGAGTGTGGTTGAAAGTTGAAAGAAATGGATCTTTAAAAAAAATTTCCTTTCGTTTTTCCCAAAATCTTTGAGAAATGGTGGTTAAGTTGTGGAATTTATAGTTATGGAAGTTTTGGCTTAAAAATGGAAATGGTGTAAATATAGACTTGTTGACATGTTGGTGATGACAAGTTGGACTCTTTTATATGTATTGTTACTTTTGATATATATCTTGAGTAGAAATAACTGTTTTGGCTATTGATGGAGGATAACATTATTTGTTGTAGAAATTGCATGAGGACTAGGTTGATTGAAACCATTTAACTCACGCATTGCATGCATTCAAATGTTTTATTATCATGTGTTGAAAAGGTTTGTTTTGAGAAAAATAGATGAATACCTTGGTAAATCTGGTTAGAGGATGTGGGTTGTGGTTTTAAATTGGCCTTTGTGTTCTTGGTGAAATTCCAAAAACTTGCGCGGTTAGGTGCCGATCCTTCTGGATAGTACTAGTAAAATAGCTTTTGGTAATGCTTGTACAGCCTAGTTGCAGACACGCACCTAGAGATTCTCACTGTGTGTATTTATCGCCCTATTACATGTTTTGAAGAAATGATGTAATCATACGAGATGTAACTTAAATTATGGCATTGTATGGTTTCAAAAATGGAGAAAACTCATGGTTTTGGGTAACGGCATAACACATGCATTCACCGCATGATTTGGTTAAGCATTATACAACTTGTTAAACTTATCTTTACTGGGCGTTAGCGGTATGTGGAAAACCATTTCAAGTGCTGATGGTTTGTTTTCGCCAAGAGGATAGCTTGGGAGGAAGTTGGAGCTAAACGCTCATCTTTTGTATCTCATTTTGTGTGTAGCCTCGAGCTTTCATGTACTGGGCTTAAGTCCCACTTTTGTTGTAACCAAATATAAACTTGGGAACTTGTAGCCACTAAGGCATCAACTTGTAATGATTTAGACATTACTACTTAACCCTCACATGCTATGGATTTAGGGTCCGCTATCAATGAATATATTATGCATGTGTACTCGTTTTGTAAAAGTATAACACTGATCCTTATATATGTATGTATATATATATATATAACTAGTCTTGATTTACTTACATCTGTATAAAGTTTAAATGTTAGGATTTCGGGTAATCTATATGCCAATATTTTGGAGGTGTCACATAATTTCAGCTTCGATAACGTATTTTATTTTGTTTCTTTGTTTCTTTCTCAGTTTTTATCATTTTGGTTTCAGAGTACTCTGCTTTTAATGGTTCAGGGAAGAGAACATTTGAGTTCTTGGGCACCCTTGTTTTCTACAGAACATTAAATGGATTGAACAAAAATCCAAATCCTAATAAAAAAATCAGGATATGTTTAACTAAGAGAGAGAGAGAGATGTTTTGTTGAAGATGAATGCATGGGGGTCCTCTAGTACCTCTAAATTGACTGCTACTTGCCTATAATAAATTTGATGTTACATTTGCATTTCTTTGACTATTTGTTCTTCGTATATAGTTTTGTGGATGATATTACTTTAGTTTAGATAGGGTTTTAATGCAGTGGAGTTGTATTTTTGTTTTGTTTTTGTATATCTATCAAAAACAATCATTCGAGCCAGGGATTGGGATAAAAGACAAAAGCTTCAAAATCGAAATGGACAATAGACTAAAAGATTATAGAGTGTGTTGTAAGCAATGGACAATATACTAAGTGAGAAACAATGAAGGAAGGGACAAACAATGGAGAAATTAGAGTTTAGTTTTTTTTACTCAAAAAAATGTGCATTGAGATTTTTTTTGTTTTAAAAAAATGTGTACAGAGAAATTTTGATATAAAATTGTGGTTGTGTTTATAGTAATTTTACTTTAGGATATAATTGTCATTAAAATAATATTTCATTAAATGTGTGCACAGAATTAAGTAAATGTATGGAAATAGAATTTCCCTGGGAATAGAGGCCCAAAAACATGGGGCATTTTTTAGTTATTTTGTCCTTTAATAACTGTCAGGAAAACTAAATGTTATTTGGAATTACAAAATTATTTAAGTCTATTTTAAGTATAATTTTTTTTTTTTTTTTGAACGACAAGAGCAGAAGGAAATTTTATTAAAAACACTAAAAACATCAATACATATTCGAAAATACTGTTAAAACAACACTAAGATGAAAAGCATCCAAGTATAGAGCAAAATAATTTCAATATTTAACAATAATTTCAATCAAACTAAAAATATATACAAATATTTTAAAAAGCTCTACAATATTTACAAAATATGTATACATATTAAAAAAATAATACATGATGAATCTATAGAAAATTTAATTTTGGTGGCATGAGACTGGGAAAAAATTGAAAATCCTACAAGAAAATATATAAGATATAGACCAATTTAGTATTATTTAACAGATTGTGCAAAGATTAAAATAAAAAGAAAAAACTATAAAGATACCAATTTTAGTTTTTTGTTTATGTAATTAATTGATTGTGTTATGTATGAAAATAATGAATGTTAATATCATTGAACTTTATTTTTAAACAAAAATTAAAAATTAAAAGCTTACATTTTGACATAGAGTCATGTCGTCCAAAATCAGATGTCCGGTTCAATAATTTATTAAAATTGTTTTCATACAGCTTTTTACATAGATCTATAAAAATATTAAATTACACATAGGCTCCATTTGGAAAGTCAGTTGACCTTTTAGCTTTTTGATTTTTTTGACTATTTTAGCCTAAGGTTAAAAAGTCTGGTTTGGAAATGGCTTTTTGACTTTTTTATTTTTTTGACTTTTTTTGTGAGAAATGAGTATAATGATTATGGATTAGATTTGATGTTTTGTTTTTTGTGACTAAAATAACCTATTTTATTTTTTATGACTATTTTAACCCCTAACCCACCAAAACCAACTTCCCAAACTATGCCATAATAAGAAACAAACAGTGAATTGATCTTTCCTCATGTTGTCACCGTAAAGGTATTTTATGATCCTTTAGAGTGAGATTGGTATGCGTCAAAAATAAATAAATAAAAAAAAAAAGGAAAAATAGACGTGGGAAACAAAAGAAACAAAAGTTTCAGTTTATGAAAATGAAAAAAATCAAATAATTCACATTTTTGAAGACCCAAAAATAAATAAATAAATAAATAACGGTGAATTGAAGGAAAAAAAAGTTTTAGTCTATAAAAACGAAAAGGAAAAATTATACCGATAATCCCTATATTTTTCTTTTTGTGTCATTTTAGTCTTTACACTTTCAATTATATCAATTTTGACCTTTAATTTTAGATTTTGTATTAATTTGGTCCTATTGATGACGTCGTTAGTGTTTTTGATGAAAGATAATCATTGAATTGGTTACAATTAACATACCAAGTTGAACAAGTTTATACTTTTGCCTCTAAAAGAATGTCATATGTCACTTATATGTATATTTTTAATTAAAAAATGCTAATAACTATAACAATTGGACTAAATTGAGATAAAATCATAAATTTAATATCAAAATCAAGTTAATTGAAATTATACGAATTAAAATGACACAAAAACTAAAATACAAGGACTATTTGACTAAAGGGGAAAAAAAAAGATCAAATGATCCACATTTTTAAAGACCCAAAAAAAACCTATAAAAAGAAGAAGAAGAAAAAGAAAAAGAAACAAACAGTGAATTGAAGAAACAAAAGTTTCAGTTTGTAAAAGGAAAAAATCTGTAATCCACTTTTTTAAGGACCAAAAAAAAGTGAATTGAAGAAACAAAAGTTTCAATTTATAAAAATGAAAAAAAAAATCAAATAATTCACATTTTTAAAGACGAAAAAATAAAAAATGAATTGAAGACGAAAAAATAATTGAAACCGTGAGTGAATAGTTTTACCTTGTAGAAAGGGGGAAAAAATTCGAAATAATGAAATGAATTAGCAAATAGTGAGTGAATTGAATAAATGACGCAACGGTGAATTGAAGAGTGAATTAAATTGATTTTTTTTTTTTTTATTTCTTCATGGTATCGGAGTTCTTTAAAATCGAATTCAATTTGTTCTTTTACTGATGAATATGAGAGTAAAAAAGTGAAGTAAATTGTTTGTT